ACTTTTTCTTTTTGGGAATAGCAAGTTTTTGAGATTTAAAATCTTTTTTTAGTTTTTTAATTTTAGCCAGAAGCGCGTTGCATTTCTTTTTATAAAAGATATCTGATTTTGAAAATTGTTTACATTTAGCGCAAACACATAGTTGTTCATTTTCTGTATCAACTTCGGGTTCGAAAAATTCATTAAAATTATTTTCCAACTTTTCTACTAGTTTTAAAGTGGAATTGCATCCCTTTTTAAATGTTTCTTCCCTCTAAATGCGTCAGAAAAATGATCTTGGCATATAAACCTTATTTTTTCGTAATCCTCCAGAGGAATACTACATTTTACGCGCCAAATTTTACTAAAAATGCTATCTGCAGGAGGAATTTGAAAAATTTTAAGACTGCGCATTGCTGCGCATTGATTTTTTGCATGTTCCTACACGGCATTGCTGGCCGGATAGTGCTGAAAATTTTTCGGTTCCGCTCATATTTTACAACTGATTGCAATGATTGCTGAACAAGAAGTGAGTGGCACGAGCTCGAGCCAGAGTAAATTCTCGCTGACGAAGAGACGAAGGCGTCGGGCAGCAGCGCTGTCTCCAAGCTCGCTCCGCTCGTTTTTACGAACAGACGAAGCTGTCGGGCAGCGGGCTCGCGGTGAGAGACGAAGCATAGCCGAAAAGAGAATTGAAACCCCGTGCGCTTCCTCTGTCCATGGGGCGTACCGGTTAGCCTTGCCATACAACAGCTTTTTGGTCGCTCATGCAGCATCTTGGTATTGTATAGTCTTTGATAATATTAAAGAGACTTTCCGTAATGAACGTTGCCTCGGAGCCCGAGTCGATCAGAGCGCGGGCACGGAAGTGCCGAGAAGCACAGCCCTTGTTCCAAATATTTTGAATAATTCTGAACGTTGGGTGGAGCGACGGAGGAAGCGAGATCCTCCGTTGTTGTGGAAGTCGATTCACTGGGAACTGGAGTACCACGATGCAGAAGCGTGTGGTGGCGGGATCCACAAGTGAAGCAACTGTGGGTGCTGATGACCTCTGGCGAAACAGTTCAAGCACAGCTGCCTCTTTTTAATGCAGCTGGCACGTGCGTCCACGATCATTTGTAAGAAGTGCGGACATAGTCGAATCGGGTGATTCTCTTTGGAACAGAGATCACACGTTCTTCTCTTTGGACTCACTTGTGTCTGGAAAGAGTGAAACATCCTTGGAATGGGACTGCCATGAGGCCGGAACGGATTGGAATTGCTTTCGGAGGGCTGCGGATTCTGGATACCTTTGGACGGTGGTAGATTCGGATTGCATTTGGACGTGGTCGGGTCGCTCTCCATGGCCTCTAGCGTCAAAGGCGCTGATTTCCGTCCATAAAGGTATCTCCTTCTTGTCTGTCACGGACGCCTCCCACAAAGATCGGGTCAACTTCGGTAACTTGGAGTCACAGATCGTAACGAGGAGGCTATCCCAGTTGTCGGTGCAGACATTGGACATTGGACATTGGACATTGGAGTGAGTGTAATGTCCCAAACACCTCTATGGATATAACACAGTGCAGACCGTAGCGTGAGGCCGGTCTTAACGTTGGCCGTTCCCTGAGTATCCTGTTGGCAGTGACGAAGGTCGATGGGACACAGCTAGCAAAACAGCCTGTGGGGGGGTTCAGGACCCATTCCATCTCAAACCTCAGAATACACATTTAATAATGTCCCTTGCCTTAATGTTTGCTTAATACCATATGCTTAACTTTGAACCAGACTCTACTTTCCTCAATTTCTCACTAATACACCCATTCCATAGAGATGTATGGGCTAGTGAGTCTGCTTGATGGTATCCAGTAACGCGTCTCAACCCTGCCGACCATTGAGCTTTTCTGCGCGCAATAAATATTCGAAAAAACTCCCAAAAACGATATCTCTTCTATCTCTTCTTCTTCACATTACTTCAAGGAAATATTGATTATTTTATTTACTCCATAATCTTTTAACTAAACTTAATACTTGAAACCATAATATTTAATATTCATAACTCATTTAATAAGCCAACACCATTTAAATAATTCATAATAATATTCTTTTTATTCCGTAACTAGAACTTTATACCCTAACTTCATTATTATTTGCTCCAACAGTTTTCTTTAACAAATTCTATTCTTAACAATTTTGTATCTCTTTGCTTTTGATCAAATCTACTTTCACATATACAACCGCTGAAAAGAAGTATTAATTTAATAAAATCATAATATCATAATATGACAATGCAAATATATCATAAGGGGTTAAGGTTTTCTTGTAACAAAGTGAAACAAATGAAACGAAGAAAGTCAGAAAACGCAAAATTAAAACAAACACGCCAAAAATCGGTGCAGGTGCTTTGCTGATTGCATCGTTATCTCTGTTAACGCTCTCTTTCGTCACCTCTTCTTTCGACCGCACACTCTATCTCACAGACGGGTATGTCGTTTTCGACGTTTTCTTTTAGATAGTTAATTTCTTTTGGTTTTTATACCCGTACTCAAAAAAGAGTTAAGGGGTATATTAGATTTTTGGTAAAAGTGGATGTGTGTAACGCAGAAAAGGAAACGTTTCCGACCCCATAAAGTATATATATTCTTGATCAGCATCAATAGCCGAGTCGATATAGCCATGTCTGTCTGTCCGTCTGTCTGTCTGTCTGTCTGTCTGTCTGTCTGTCTGTCCGTCTTGTTGAGCACCTAGATCTCAGAGACTATAAGAGCTATGGCAACCAAATTTGGTTTCCACACTCATGTGATATCACACTGCTACACGTTCCTTCTCGTTATTGACTGTTTTTATTCCATTTTTTCGACTCACCCAGATTTATCGTAGAAGGCCTTCTCGAAGATCGGTTTTAATTATTTTTATTGTTTTAACTTAAGGTAATTTGTTTGGGGTGATAGAGTATTACATGTCGCATTAAGTCTCGCTTCAATTGTTTATTTTCACTTTTCCTCACCCATTTTGCATGTTTAATTACTTTACACTTTATTCTTTTGTCCGGTTGTACATGTGTTGGTGATCTTGAACGTGCCTATTCTTTTACATGTATTCTTTTTGATGTAATTGCGAATTTCTTTTAATCAACCCTAAATTTTCACTAATTCACTAATTGTTGCTGCTTCTTCTGCTTGTCTCCGGTAATTCCGTTTTTAAAACCTTCTGCTCCGGTCGTTAACCCTGCTCTCCCGCTAATGACAACGAACAGACTCAGACTGCGCATATGTAATTTTGCTGTGGCTGCTGGTCTGCCAAAGAAAGTTGCGTCGGGGAGCTCGGCCCTTTCCACGGGTTCTTCTACCCTGACTCGACCCTGATCTGGTCTCTGAGGAGAGGTTAGGTCCGAAAATTTTCTTGGACTATAAAAATCCCACACCGTTTTCTTTAGAACCGTTGTTATTACTTTCCTTCGCTATGCTTTTGCCGGGCACATAAATGTTTTAAAGCTCCTGCTTCGAACCAAAATCTGTTCTGGAATATAGTCTTATAAATTCCATGTGACTTCCTAAATTCTTCCACAAAATAATTACCTGTCCGAGCTATAGACCACTTATAGACCAATTATTCCCGAAGATTTATTTATAATTTCCACGGATGCCTTAAATATTTCGAGATTCCTCTTTGAATATTTAGGTATTATACTATAGGACTGTTTTAAGTGCGTGTTTTAATTTTGATACGAGAAATTAGGTCAGCATCGGTGGTGCAATGAAATAGGAAGAGAAAATTCGCTGAGCTCGTCAAGAACCTATTCTCGCTCCAGGAGCTTTCTTCACAGCTGATTGTTTTGTGAAACTCGCGAGTGTAACTCCCAACGTATTGCGCTTAAATTTTATCGCCAGATCGATAACAAATAATACAAATTCTACGAAAACTAAAAACAATTTTTTTTTCTCTTTTTCTGAGAACCATGCACAGGACATGAGCAAGGGCTGTGAGAACCCCTTGCATTGGGTTTTGCAGCTTTTTCCAAGCCCGACTGGTTTCGAACTCGACGCGAGGCAAAAAGAGCAAAATATTTATTTGGTTGGTTACCAGGAGCCTATTATTTCCATAACGGTTTGTGAAGCTGACCATGCCGATTCGAAACCATCGTTGGTGAGCGGGGACTTTTTGACTATGGACTTAGGATCGCCACTTGTCTTAGCGGTGAGATGGTATAGGGTTTAGGGCAGCAGCGCTGTTAATGCCGTTAACATCGTTCTGTTAGCTAGCGCGCTCTCCCATGCCCTTCGCTCTCGCACTGCTTGACTGCGATCCACCTGGCTCTCTATCACGGGCGCTAGGCGTAGGCGTAGGCCGAGCTGTGGCTAAACCAGAGAGATCAGTGCTTTTTCACCGTATATATATAAATATCCGACAATATACAAGCCATATACTTTGAAGCACCATCCGACTACTTTTATTGGGAATCATTGTCTTTTGGGAACCGAAGTCGACCCGACGACACCCACCCTCCTACAAACATTGGTCCTTCGAGCCGGATTTGAATCAGCGACCTATGGTCGGCCTATAATGCCATGATTCGCATTCTACCCACATACGTTATATCGTTTCCGGCCACTATAACTCGTAACAATAAATTTGTTTTCCTCAAAAAACCAAACCGACACTTTCTGATAGATTGCGGCTTTAAATTTTTTTAATGAACTATACACAGGGTATAATTTTTTAATCTATAGAAAAGTTCGATTTTGTTGAGTAGTGTAATAGCAGATAAAATAAACCAAACTATATACATCAAGAGTCGGCACGGCCTATCTATTGTTCTTAGGAAAAGGCGCTGCGCTACCGCTCACGTACACGTGTATTAAACTGGTTGGCACCAATGGAATTATCCGTTTTGCCTCCTGTATACGCACACAATCGCACTGCAGAACATTTGATTGTGTGCGTGCCGACCACTGATGTACATACATATATATTCACTTTTAAAAACACACAAGAAAATACAAAAAATGTTAAGTCTAATGTAGCTAATTAATATTTCTTTCAAGGTTTCAAAATAAAACTAATCTTTGGGATAAATTAATAAGTTCAGCAACTGGAATGTTTGCGACTAAAGAGGGATATATTATGGTAAAGGATTTCTACGATCATCATTATGGAGAATTCGGAAGTGCGCAGCATATTATGGAAAAGTCCCTTCGAAATATCAAAGAGGAAGCGCAATGGAGCGATCGAAATCTGCCAGTTATTGAAAGGTGGTTGGAAACCTTTTTATCAAAAACAACCAACAAACAATAAATATTTGCTAAAATATAAAGATTATAACAAAAAATTTAAAAACGGATTAAATATACAACAATAGTACGTAATAGCATAAACATTTTTTAATTTACATATATATAATATAAGAATATAAATCTATATATATAAAAATCTCGTGTCACGGTGTTTGTGGTTGAGCTCCTGTCAAACGGCTCGACCGATTTTTATGAAATTTTTGTCGTATTTTAAATCTGTAAATCTGTGTGTGCCATGTATTCGCACATACTGTGCTTGAGTGGGCTCTACAATTTATGGCCGTTTCCTTTTTCACCTTTGTTTTGAGGGTGCAAGCTTGTGGAGCGACCTGACCTGCCGCATCATATGAAGAATGGGCAGAGTCGGTGGAGGTGGGCGTGGGAAATAAATAAAATATAAAAATAAAAGCTGTTCTTGGTTTGATATATTTGAAATTGCACAAGGAATATTATGCAAATGCTTCGGCTTTCGACTTTTCAACTTTTTCAATAAAGAAATAAATAAATAATGTGTATATATACAAATCTCGTGTCACGGTGTTTGTGGTTGAACTCCTCCTCGACCGATTTTAATGAAATTTTTGTCGTACATTAAGTAGGTCTGCGCATAGGTCGTAAAGTATTTTTGATCTTCGTATTACCACAAATTAACTTTTTATCGCGATTTTTTTTTGTTTGTATCAAGTTTGGTTTTGATTTAACTGCACCAGTAGACACGACATTTCCGCTGTGGTCCAAAGTGACTTTTATGATAGATTTGGGAATTTTTAATTTTTTTAAAGAACTATGTTTTTTTATGGTTTAGTTTTTTTTTTTAATTTTTTAAATCTGTAATTTTTTTGTGTTTTTATTTCAGAGGTAGTGCTTCCATTTTTCAAATAACTAAAGTATATAATATCTGGTTGCATAGAACTTTGCAGTTCTGCAGCTATAAATCCGATTCAGACATTTTGTAGCTGCAGCTAACGTCTGAAAGATATATAAGTTTCAAATTCAAATTTCATGATTTTTTGGGGTACTTTTTTTTGGCATTCATTTTTGGTTGTAGATAGACGCAATATTTAGGCGTCGTTTAAGGTATTCTTTGAAAGAATCGATTTATAAACGTCCAAGTTGCAGCCGTTTAACCAAAACGACTCAAAACTAATTTTACCTGAAAAATACCGTACGGTACGTTGCTGGTCCAACTGCCAAAATGGGATTGAAGGAAACAAAAAGGACCTGTAATTTTGGTTTCACCGACTCTTAGGTATGGACAGTTACTTTAACTCTAATGCTGTGGAGAAAACCAGAGATTCACGGCTCTGAATGTTTTTTTTGTTCTTTTGCCCATGCTGTTAATATGAAGGAAAAATATCAAATAATGGCTAATTTGTTTGAAAATATAAAGAACACCAGTAGAAGGTCGCGTGTGATTTAAAAATCGTAGCCATGTTAACGGGATTGCAAGGTGGTTACACAAAATACTGCTGCTTCCTGTGCCTATGGGATAGTAGAGCTAGAACTGAGCATTACTCAAGAAAACTCTGTCCGAAACGTGAAGAAAATACATTGGAAAATTATAACATACAAAATGCAGCGCTCGTGAAGTTTGAAGACGTTATTTTACTAATGAAAAATTTTGTTAAAATTTTGTTAATTTTGTTTTGTAAAATAAGGAAGGTGAATCGATAAGTTACCTAAAAACTGTTTTCCACGTCTGTCGCTGGCAAAAGTTAAAGAATGCTTATTTGATGGCGCCCAAATTCGAAAAATCCTAAAAGATTATGTGTTTGAAAATATTTTATCTACGAATGAAAAAGCAGCCTGGAACTTACTCCGGCTGGTTACAAAAAATTTTCTTGGTAATAGCAAAAATTTATTAGAGTGATTACGTTAATATCATTCAAGACCTAATTGAGAATTATGAAAAAATTGCCTCCAACATGGCACTTGTTCGGAGCAGCAGCCGATAATAGTTCTTCTTAATATCATATAGTCATACATCATCTCTTATACTGCTTATACTTGTCGCTCTCTCAGTACGCTCCCGTACACACGCACATATGCTAGTACTGCTTATAGTGCATTGCTTCGCCCTGTTCTCGGTTCAGTCCAAAGATTCGTCGAACGCATCGCATCGAGTCGTAGTTCACGGCCACGGCCTCAAACCATTTGTAACCCGTCGTGAAAATAAAACCCATTTGTAAACTTAACCAACGGAGTAAATTATTGTAAATGTGGAGTCAGAGTTGCCGAAAAAGCTCGGCAGCTTCCAACATTTTGGTGACCCCGACGTGATTGCCGTGGACTTACAGTGCGTTGAAAGTGTTTAAACCATTCAATCAATCCAAATTTGAAGGTTTAACGTGACATATGTGAAAAAAGTAGCCAACCAAAAGTCGTTGTGGCCGACGTTAGCAGTTCTAGCGGCCCGCTATTCACTTTCGTATTCTCTTTCACCGTCAGCTTCAGCCTGCGCAACGCACTGTCGAGACTGGCTGCATAGAGTTCTAAGCGTGGTCCGTTAGTTTTCTTCGCCTCCTCTTTGCTCGTTTGCTTCAGCCAGCTCTTGTGAGAGGCTGCAGTAATAACTCTCTGAAATTCGAACTCGAAAGCAGAGTACATCTCTCTTTGCATAATTGTTGGTTTTCCGTCGTCGCTTCGTTGCTTTTACCGGTGCATACCTATCGCATATATAAGTGCCAAAAAAGTGAACGCAAAGGTGTTTGAACTCGTTTTGAACTCGTTTGAACTCGCGCGTTGCGTAATAATATTTAATTGTGATCGACTAGCACCCTCCGCGTCAACCGTTTTCTATAACCAAAACCATGGGCAAGAAAAAGAATAGCAGAAAGAGTGGATCGTTTGCTATGGACAATGAAAGTGATTCTGTGACATTTGGCGCTGCGCCATCGGGCGAAAGTTTTAGTGCGAATGCAGCCAGCACCCAAGTCCCTGTTCCGGTATCTCGTATTTCCTTCATGAGACTGAAGGCTAGAGCTATTTTCGATCGGCTAGAGTCCATACGCACAGAGATGGATAGTGAAAAGTTGCGTCAAATGGATGAATACGACTTGCGAGGGCTGTTGGAATCATTGACGGAGCTTAAGTCAAATTTTGTTGTGGCACACACCAGTTTGGAGGATTTGGATTTCGAGTCAATGTCCAGTGAAATTCCTGCCAAATTCGACTCGTCGATATTGTCGTTGAGGACCATTCTTCAGCGCGAGCTTGGAAGTCGCTCGAGCAATAAGCATTGTTCCACATTCAACGCCAACTCTAGTGAATCGCAGTCAATCGTCATAATGTCTAATCGATCTCGGTTACCTCATCTGGAGCTGCCCAAATTCAGTGGAATTTATACGGAGTGGGCCAATTTCTTCTCAATGTTCACAGCGATTATTGACAAGGAGTCTGAGCTGAGCCCTATCGAAAAGCTTGCAGCATCTACGTTCCTGCTTGAGTGGCGCAGCCCTGAATACCATCAGCTCGTTGGAAATAAATGAAGCTAATTATATCATAGCATTAGACATTCTGAAGCGACGCTTTGATAATAAACGTTTTATTTTGCAGGCACACATCAGAGGGATATTTGGGTTGGAGAAGGCTGACGCATCGGTGGGCAGATTGAGGGAATTGACCGACAGAGTTACATCGCATATTCGTGCTATGGAGTCGCTTGCAAGCAAGGAAGAAGTGGCGGATTGCATTATCGTGCAGACTGTTCTTCAGAAGCTGGACAAAGCCTCTCAAAATAGATGGGAGGAGTCTTCGTCGAATCAAGAGCTGCCATCTTGGGAGAAACTGTCTGGATTCTTGGAAAAAAGATGTCGCACGCTTGAAAATGTGGATCAAGGACGAAGGACAAGATGGTCAGGTTGGCAAGTCCGGAAAAACCGTGAGTACGCATCAAAGAAAGACATTTGTAGCATCGAACGCTCCAGTTTCTTGTGAACTGTGCGAGAGTACTCATCACATGATTGCCAATTGTCAACGGTTTGCAATTCTATCGCCGAATGATCGTCGCCTGGAAGCCAAGAGGCTCTTGCTATGCCTAAATTGCCTACGAAAAGGCCATCAATTGAGAGATTGTAGATCAGGTCCCTGCCGCACTTGCCGATCGAAGCACCACACGCTTTTGCATTTCATTCGTCCAACAGAGGCTGCCCAATCTGTTCCTCCAATTGAAGCCTCACCAGCACAACCAAGTCGTAACGCCATGGTTGCAGTATCGCCCTCCTTGCCTCAAGCCTTTATGTCCCACAGTCCATCTGATGCTGTGCTTTTAGCCACTGCCGTCGTTCTTGTAAAAAACAGCGTTGGAACTTTCGTACCCTGTCGCGCATTTTTGGATTCGGGATCGCAATTGCATTTCATAACTAGTCGTCTAGCTAATCAGCTAAAACTTCGAACAACCAAATCGCTTACCGCTGTCTCTGGCATAGGAGATGCTAGCTTCCCAACAGAAGGTATCTCGGTGGATCTCGTTCTGAAATCGCGGATTTCAGAGTTCACCACTAGCATCACTGCCGTCGTTGCCCAGAAGATCACGGACCATCGACCTAGCATCACAGTTAGCACTGCTAGTTGGCCTATACCGTCGAATATCCAGCTTGCTGACCCTTCGTTCCATAAGCCACAGCGGATTGACCTGCTCATCGGAGCCGGACTTTTCTTCGAGTTGCTGTGTGTGGGGGCAAATTCAGCTGGCGCCTGGACTACCGTTGCTGCAGAAGACACATCTAGGATGGATTCTTTCTGGTGGCGGGCACTCGGCCCTCAATAACTCGTCGTTCATCGCAACCCAATCTTCGGATGACATCAATCACAGCACTCGGCTCGATGAGTTGGTTCGTCAATTTTGGGAAGTGGAGCACATCTTTGAGCCAATCGTTAGGGCAACAAAGGAGGAGCTGCACTGCGAGGACCACTTTGTCAAACATCACACTCGATTACCCTCAGGAGAATATTCTGTTAGCTTGCCCATGAAGCGAAGTCTGGAGTCCTTGGGCGATTCCTACTTGCAAGCAAAGCGGCGGTTGGAAAATTTGGAGCGCAAATTCGTGCGTAATCCAGTTTTATATTCGAAA